CCTTTATGTCCGTATGATTGCTACAGTCCGAGGAAAATCGCGTCTGAATTAACGGAATCCGATCGATTTCAACCGCGATACCGTGGCGGCAGCGTCTTGTTTATTCATGAAGTTTTTAACGGTTCGACAATCGGACATGATCGTGAATCTTAATTTCTACATCTCGGTTGAAAACCGTCCTTTTTTTCCACCGTATCGATCGTGACGAGCGTACGCTTTATGTTAATCATCGGCGTTTAACAACTCCGTATATGTAATCCTAATTCGACGCATTCCAGGTTATTTCAATCGTTCCTATGCATAATTAGCGCAAAATTACGGTGTAATAGACTCATTTTTGATAAATGTTCTTCGGATCCACAGCAACTGCTTATTAAGATTTTTCTCTTGTCGGTGCTAATTACTATTTACACCTATTTATGTATTCTCAGTTATTTTTCGATTTATTTAGTTATCTTATTTCTTTCTGTCAGAAAGGATTTTCTTTTAACATTTGATATTTCACTCTGGTCTAATATAATTAGGTCAATTTTACCTAAATTCAGGCTCTAATGTTTAATTATATTGTTCGTTAGAGAAATTTGTAAATTAATTTGACGTCAGTAATAGTAATACTAAAATATAAAGTATAGTTTACATATATAACGATCAAGCGATATGTAAGTATATTTCCTTAATTCGATGTTAACTTGGACCAAGTTTAATTCAAGGAATAGTAACGAAATAATTTATTGACCAGTCCACGAGGGTTAATGTATTGTAGAATCAATTCACTGGTGTTTTGATAATGATAATATGTATCGGCTTTATTACGGATGTTTGTTCGATTCGGGAACGGCTGTAAAAGTTTCGAAAGTCTGTCGCCGTTTAATTGGAGCTAAAAGTCGCGTTTATCGGTTATCGCGTAAAGTCTCCCGAAATAATCTGATAACTCGAGTGCAGAAATTTCGTTCTAAACCGTGCATCTTATCGGGGATTACCAATATCTTGGCAACTACCATTGATTCCGATCGATTCGATAAATTCTGTTTGAACGGGCGAATATTCCATTTTTGCGAACTGATCTTTGTATTTGTAAACAATCTGACGGTCAATGAATATTGAAAAGACGTAAAAGCAAGTTATTTTTTAGGATATTAGAACCCTTCGTAGATTAAATGTAAAATACAGTAAATAAAGTTACGAAGTGTCGAATAATTCTTCAAGTCACCAAATTTTTTCATTAAATCACTAATCGCTGTACATAAAACGATTACTGTTTATACCTTAAATATGTTATTCAGATCTTTTTCATATGAATTAATCGATTAAATTTGTACATATGAATTTGAAATTCCCCCGTGCAATATGTTAACAAATTTTTTTAAGCGGATTAAAAACTCGAAGACGTCTTTTTGCGGGAAGTCATATTTTATATGATGAAATTCCGCGACGTGAACGGTGTTTTCATGTTTCTGAGACGAGATTAAGCAAAAAGAAAATATTCATATGATTCAGCGATCAAGAAAATATGGCTGACAAAGCCTATAATCATGTCTAAAATAAAATACTGCCGTATAAGATTATAGATAACGAATGTTGTCTTATTAGCCTGAAATTAACTTAACGAATAGATTCAACTTTTTGATAGTCTGAATAGTGGAAAATTTTACAATCATATCCCTCTAAGTTTATTTCCCCATTTGCCGTGTTTTATTTCACTTGAGAAATGGGATTGCGTAGATAATCAAAGTTTTTCTACCGGTGTACAGTGGCGTGCAAAACTTTCCAGGCAATTTACCTCCTAATTCCACTATGTAGGCTGAAATGTCCCTTTATAATGAAATCGGTACCTTTCTTTAGCATACTTTTACCGTTTGCTCTATTACATGGTAACTTTCTGCACGGAAACTTATCGAAGACAACTGTCAAATATCGTTCTAACTTATCAAAATTGATTTCGAATCGTCAAATCATTCGTATTTCTATTTCCATCCGTTTTTCTATCAATGAATTCTTTTCTTCAAATTCAAGTGTTTAATCTCGAGCCAAATTCTACTATAAAAATGCCAATTTCCAATTATGATTTTTCTGAAGGTGATTTGGCACAAAAGTTGCCGAAACAGAAAAGTATTAATTGAAATTTCAGTGTTCACCAATGGTTGGTTGCTTGTTTAGGAGAGTTGTATCATGTCAATGGGTATGCACGATCATGTTATATTCCTAGAACGAAATTCCACCGAAGTGTTCGATCCAAACGATCATAATTGAAATATTTCCGGTATACGTCCATCCAAGTGAAGTAACCGACTCGTTTCACAGGCGAAAGATGGTCGACGAGAACAGTTTGCGGCCGGTTGATTTATGGTCGCTCCTGTATGATACTCTCGTAAAACCCCCGACTATCTTCCGTTACACTGGTTTCGTGTGCATAGTCTTATCACTCGCGTTTACGACTGTCGCATAGGCGTAAATAGAAGCTGAATAACTCCGCGTGGTGTAACAGTATAAATACCGATAAATTTTTACTCCTATCTCGCTAAAACCGTGTTATCGTCCGGAATATAGGATCTTGATCTTGATTTTCCTTTCAGATTACTCGTGTTTCCTTTGTACCTGAACCATTATTTGAGCATCGTCTTTCGTAACTGTTTACTAAATACATCCTGTTGCTATTGTCATTTGTTACAAATGACCAGTTTTTTGGTAATGACGAGTATACTCGTCACGTGAAAGAATAAAATACCCTTTGCTATAAAAATTGAAAAATATATTTCTTTTATTAGAATATTATTTTATTCTATTAAAAATTGCAAATCAATTTGTTAGAATAAAAGAAATTAATTACACAAACAAGATTCCATCTTTAAAGGGTTAAGTATCTTACTCGGTTAAGAGTAAAATAGAAAAGTTGTTGCATGTAATGAAACTTTTGTCTTCCATCGTATTTCATAAAGTCCTACAAGCTGTATGTAAATGCATAAAATCTATGGTCTAGTTATCTGTTTACGTTTCTGGTTACTGTAACGTTTAGAAACACGTTCGTTTATCGGTTTCACACGCAAAACGAGACAATCTTCGCGGTTTCGGCGATCTTGCAAATCATCATCCCGACGCTGCTACGCGTTCTGATTCCGGGGTCTCGATAAATCGTCGCCCTTATCGATCGTTGCTCGCTGATCGTACCGTCTGTATTAATATCGATCATTCACTAATACAGAGTTCAAGGTGCGAATGTTCGACGAGAAAGAGTTGCTTTTATCGCCGCCTTATAAGCTAATCTACGAAACTGATCGTCGATAAACCGAGGAATTCCAACGATTCGAATAGAGAGGAGATGGGCCTGATCGTTTAGAGATTCGCCGATTGGCTGGCTGGAAAAAGCACGTGTGGCGAGATTTAATAACTCCGACGTAGGGGAAAGGTGTCTAAAACGATCCCTCTGGTTACAACAATGCCCTGTCAGTATGAAAGAAAAACAACTCGTCAAAGCTGTTTTTATTTAAATAAAATGTAATAACTGAAATGCTTTTTAATGTTCGTCGTAGTTACTATCAATAGGTATAAAATGATCCTTGGAGATCGTTTTAAAAAATACAATTGATCACGTAACTAAATTTTATTTAAGCCAATGGTAAGATAGATAGACTAACTTACAAAAACTACTTTACTTTTATTGAAATAATGAGCATTTGTATTTTTTATATAAATTACGTCTTAAAAGGATCGTTTTAGACACATTTCCCCTAGATACCGGAATTACGTGTCACGTTTCGTTAATCCCGTCGTTTCGCGTTTCAATGCTTGACTGGGTCGTCGTCGGCCAACAAACGTACGTCACATTTTAGTTGTCCGTCAATCTTAATTGAATTCACCACCCAAGTGAAAAACCGCTGAACCTTCCTTCGATTGGGGGCCCGTGTTGCAATCGAGGAGATCACGTAAAGTGTCCTCAACGAGCGACAATTGGGTCGTGGCGCGACTTAACCACGCCACGAGTTACGACTTCGAAGAACTGTCCGTTCGGTGATGCAAATCGACTCCAGAAATTTATGAAAAAGAAGACGCTCTTTCCTTCGCATCGATAGAGCGTCTGCTTCGTCGATGACAATTCGGAAACTTCAAGACGAAATATTTGAAATTGCTGAGTGGATAATTTGGACGATCTCGAGGAATAATGAACTGTATAGGTTTTCCACTTTTTTGGAGTAATTAGTGCAATTCGACTTTTTTGAAGTTGGTACTTAAGGTGGAGTACAATTTTCAGTAGTCCTCTAATTATACACGTATGTTCATAATTATTAGGACACTTGTCAACTTCGAAATAAATGTAATGGGGCATTAACGAAATTGTTGAATGTCCGAAATAAATATTGTTTGGGGGACGTTAAAGTTCGTTGGAGATCACTTACGCTGACATAAAGTAATGAAAGTGATCCAAAAATTGAAAGTTTTAGGGTGGTTTTATAGTTATGCCACGCAATCGACATATATTATTTCTATTGGGGACAAAGTTTCCAGATAGTTATGAACGGCAGTGTACATTCTCTCTCCTGGTTGCAACCTGTCAGCAGTATTAGAATAATTGCACCGTAAAATACCCAAGGACGCACTTTTCAATGTATATAAACTTCGAACCGACACGATAGTTCATGGTCGAAGAGATAGAAAGTAAGAAAACCCGAAGGGCCAGATCGCCTGAGAGTAGTCCTCTTGGCAGGCGAAAAATCGATGGACGAAATTGACTCATCACCGGAGGCTCGTCTTTCAATCAATTCACACGAAAGGGATCTCAATTTCGACGATCGATCATTAATTCACCGGTAGATAACGATCGTCGGAGTGGACAGGCGCGTCTATGCTGTCTAAAATAGCCGGGCGATAAACAGAACTTAACGAGCGGCTACCGGATCGCCCCCACGGCATGCTAATTTCACGGTAGTTGGCCCGCGCGGGCGTCAGAGGGCCCGGAACATCGAATAAATCATCAAGGGGGACGGGGAGGGTGTCTATCTACATACCAACAGGCTTGGGCACGTTCCTCTTGACCTGCATCCATTTGTAAGTGGGTACATGGGGTTGTTGTTGTTGTTGTTGCTGTTGAGGATGATGTCCATGAGGATGTTGTTGCTGCTGATGATGATGCCCGTGTTGATGGGTGTTTTGAGGATGTACAGATTGTTGGATGACATGGTATCCCGTTGGATCGGGATTTTCCTCTTTGTAATGACCGGTGGTGTGTCCGGGGTAGTCGTTCTGTCGAATTTGAGGATGATAGTGAAGGGACTCGTCCGTGGCGGGTAGCTGGTGGAGATAGTTCGTGGTCCCGGCGACCGAGATCTGATACTCGGACTCGTGGTGATGGTGATGGTGATGGTGATGACTAGAAGACTGATGATGCAACTCGTGGTCCGTTCTCGTATGGCCAGAGACCATTGAACTCTGATGAAGATTGCTGTTGCCCGAGGCTGGAGGATGATGATGGTGATGGTCGTCTCTGTAGGTAGCCTGCTGTACATGGTAACTTTGGTGAGGATCGACCGATCCGTGGGATCCGTTCGTGTGATGTTGTTGCTGCGGTTGATTGCCGTAGGTGGAGGAGGTGGACGCGTAGTCCAGATTCGTGTAGCTCAATCCGTTCTCCGAGGAGATGATCGCGGTGGTTGTTGTTCCATCCTCTTGAAGGACACCGGCCGTCGGGGAGTAAAATCCTTGGGGTGGCGTAACGGACGAAGTGGCCGATTCGGCGGCCAGAAAGCTCTCCGAGGAGGAGGACGAGTATGGGGATACGGCGGTCTGAGGGAAATAATGGGCTGGGGCGAGTTCCGGCGAGGGTGGAACGGGCACGTGTCCACCGACGGACACGGGCTGATGGTGGTGATGATGATGATGATTCCCTTGACCCGTGCAGACGTAGTTCGGGTATGAGTCAGGCTTGCCGTAGGTTCCGTACATGCCCATGTCCATCATCATCATCCTTGTGGCGGTGAGACGAACACATCAAATTGGCCCCACCTGCTGCTGAGACCGCCACCGTGTCCCTCTGTCACTGTGCACCGTTTTATTGGCCTGGATAAGTGGCGGAGGAACGTGGAGAAGTGGCGCGAAGAGGGTCAAGGACACAGGGAGCTTACATTGCTGGGTGTTGTCACCTGGTCTCTTGGGTTAGCTACACACTTTCGAATAATTCTCGTCCGAATAAGACTCCAGACGATATTCAGCCGCGACAGGCTGTACAATAACACAGATATCACAGACCTACACACTCCTTTGGTAACACTCCCGTCTACCAGTAATTGAGCAAAGTACGTAACACCGATATCAACGAACCGAGTCACTTTACAGCAGATAAGGTTATTTCGCCAACTGTCAACAACTTCGGTAACTGTCCGATTATCAATCGGCGAATCCCAAAATCGAGTGGTATAGTTCCGCGGAGGTAGGCGCCACAGTTATCCCGAGGCACCTCCGCGTCGTCGCAGTGGACGCGGGAACGGGGACCCGTTACACGCGAAAATAATAGAGAAAGAGGCGAACGGCCGCGCTTAGTCGTCGATCCGGTCGACGAGGGTCGCTGAAGTGGACTGGCTAGGTGGACTCGGTTGGCAGAAGGCGGCACACGGTCGAGAGAGGCCTGCCACCACGCAGGTGAGAGCAGAGCCGCAGGGGTCTGGTGTGTCCAGCTCTAGTCCACTCTGTTGCTCCCTGTAGACGGTCCTCGTTTATCCTTCGAGTGTATAGGCATAAGCATTGCTCTGCGTATACGTACGCCTAGCCGTTGGGAGGGGAGGGAGAAGGTGTCTGCCTTCTTCGTCGGATCGGGGCGTGTCTTATTCCCCCTGGTCACATGACCCGTCCCGGGGCGGAGCCAGCCAATCCGGCGTGAGCCTGCGCGTCCGTCGTCCGTAGCCTCATGATGGATCACCCGAGTGAAATTTTATTTTTCGTTCGTTCCTTTTTATCTGGCACGCTGCAGTTGACACTTATCGTCGCGGGGTAGGTAGTCCGAGTATTATATCTCGGTACCCACCTTCCAGGATACCCCAGCCCCCGCCTCCGTTCCTCCGTCGGGCAGCTTGTCCCTCCCCGCTCTTTTCCTTCTTTCCCTGGCTCAACCGGTCGCCTGCTCGCTCTGTGTACACGCGTGTCCCACCTGTCCTCTGGACACCGTCGTCCTGCACTTTCATTAAGCCTTGACGGTTGATGGGTTAATTACGGGCTGCGATAGAACGTCGCGTACGCGAATGTAGCCGCTGTGGACCGCGCGCGCGCGCGCATCCTTTCGTCGTGGAATTCTGCTACGCGATTGAACCGATTCTTACGGGATTAGAAACGTGACTCGTTGGCAGGCGATGCTGATCAAACTGTGTATGTTGTATTGGCTGGTTGATTGTTCGGAGTTTTGGGCATTCTGGGTCCCAACGGGGTTAACATTCGAACTGGAGGATGTTGGAGTTTTATTTGTTGATTAACTGACTCGATTCTACAATGTTAGACGGTCTCTTGACATTAATGTACATTAAGACACCATGTTGATGGGCGGATCGACTGCATCTACCCAGTTTCTAAAAATTGGTATTGTCAATCTTCATCAATTGCTACGTATGATTATGTGTATAAGATTCCATTTTTGGGGTCTGTATCTTGACATGCGGAGGAACCTTTTCTGGTCGATATATATCGTCGTATATAATTTTAAAGTATCAAGGAGAATGTACACCGACTTACTCTGGGATTCGACAAACTGGACTAGAAAACAAAGATGCCTTGGCTTCTTAACATCTTTGACCCTGAATGTGGCTACCCCTTTGTTAGCGCAAGAATTACTGGAACTGGTATTGTCCTTGTACTTAAACGAAGTACCATTTTACTTTATAACAGTGCATTCGATTTCTTTTTCTGCGACATCGGAAGTTAAAATGAACACAGTGAATTATAATGTTTCTTGATCTTAACGATCCTTATCCCGGTCAAACCATGCCTCGGAATTCTTCAATCTCGTAGTCGATAAAATTTTATTAACACTAGAACTATCAGACCAGTCAAAATGACTGGTCAATACACTCTTACAACGAATTTTCTCAGATCTTTTTCACCTTTATTTATGACGATATAGGAGTGAAGAAATTAGTCAATTTAAAAAATTTCTAAATTTTCAAAAGTTTTCCACGTTTATCCAGCGATCGAAGCAAATATGCGTTTATCGTTGGTAGTTCTAGTGTTAAATGTAATTCTCATTTCACGAAACTGTCGTTATACCGAACGTGGAACAGAAATTGTTTAATATTACGTAATGGCGGCGCGCGGTGGCGGCGATCGTCTTCGAGGGCTCGATCCCATGGAACCGACAGACGAAGAGTTCGGAGCCGAAGGACGTGTGACGGGGGCCCGTGGGACGTCTGGGTACCCCATGTGGGTTCAGTGACAGGATGACACATTCCGCCGTGAAAGTTTTCGGAGAGCGGTCCCGTATCAACGGTTCAGTCAGAAGAGCTTATATCGAGGGCGCCACCTGCGGCCACCCGCGACATCCGTTCTGTCCCGAGCATCAGATCAAGGAAATCTTCATCTTGATCGAACATCCATGACGTCTCATAGTTCTGATTCTCACTGTCGGCCGATCTTTTTCACCTGGACGCGCTCGTTACATACTTCAAACCCGTACCCCCCTCCCCTCGGCCCAGCGACCGTCCCGTTCGCTCCTTTAATTCGTCGATATTCGTTAGGGCTGTGTCCGTTCTGTCTTCTTGGTTACATGATAAACTTGTTAATTGGCAACCAACCGATCGGTACTAATTGCCGGATAACTTTGTACACTGTAGGCAGACATGGGCAAAAATTTATTATCCAGATGAAGAGTTTCGAGTAACGAATAAAAGATAAAAAAAGTATTCCGCCATTTTTTATCGATTGAACATGAAAATTTGAATTTTTATAATAATACTTCTTATTAAATGAGTAGACATTTGATAAACGATAATTTCATTTTGGTAACTGTTGAAATGGCAGGATGAGGGTCTTAAAAGAAACTTTATATGTTTGAGAAACTTCGTATGTCCTGTTAAGCAGTCAAAAATAAGGGATACGTATTTTTTTTTATCGGCTGAAACGCGACTTTAAGGGGTGAAACCACCCTTCGAAGTTTCGAACCGAAAGTACTATCTCGAAAACCAGAGGAGATACATGAAAACTTTTAATGGACGAGGTTTGCGGTTTTTTATGTAGAATAATATGGTGCTATCAAATTGTGCAAAATATAATTTGTTTATAACAAAAAACTTTCGAATCGCAACTTCGAGGGGTAGTTTCGCCCTTTAAAGTCGCGTCTCAGTCGATAAAAAAAAATACGTATCCGTTATTTTTGACTGTTTAACAGACATATGAAATTTCATCAAAATCGGAGGTGGACACTTCCGTGCCTTCCCTTGGTAGAAATACTATAGACTCGTCTCGATTATCGTCTGGCTCTCGTCGGTCCGACGTCGGCCGAGATCACAGTTTTAAAGCACGGTCGCTCACGATTGTTGGCCGATGAGCCGTGTGATTTCACGTTCCAAACAGTTCCGAGTGGTGTTTTAATGGAATTTTCCGGGATCAGCGGAGTAAATTCGAGTTTAGCCGACTCTAATGTCGGGATAAATATCAGCGGGGCCCTCCTTGTCGGTTCTCCGCGGGACACGCGTAAACTTTGCCCCGGGATAATCCTCTTAAACAATTACAAACCAGTTGATCGGTCTGGTACCTATCTTGTCGTGGCGCCACGCTGGGTTTTGACGTGGGATGAGGCACCTGCATTGTCATGCTAAGCCGTCCCCGGTCGCCTTTCGCCCTGCAGTTCCCTTTTATCTGCGACCAACAACATCACGTCGCGCCTTTACTCCCGAACTGACCCGTCCTCCTTCGAGAACTTCTTCCTTTTTGAATTTTTCTTCCTTCGATCGAGAGACAGCTCCTGCTACCTAACGTCCTCACTCGTTTATTTTAGCCTTACAATGCCGCGTATGCACTTTTGTACATATGTATTAAGACATTTATGGGATATAATTTATATGTGATGTAACATTACGAAAATATTAAAAGTGTTTAATGAAGATTGTCCAGGGAATATTTTAGCATATTATGAAAATGTAGAAAGTGTTTAATATTGTTCAGGAGATCTGTAATCCTCGTGCATCGTCGTGTCAATTTGAGTCAAAATTAGACGTTGATTTTTAACTATTCTTTCGATTAGAGGAATTTTGACTAATTTCATGACAAGTGTTTAATATTGTTCAGGGGGTGTTAACCCTCGTGCACCATTCGGATCAATTTCAATCAAAATTAGATGTTGATTTTGAACTATGCCTTCGACTATAGGAATTTTTTATTAATTCGGAAACCAAGTGGTTCAACATTAAAAATTGAAATAAAAAAAAGCTTCAAAAACTGAAATTAGTCACTTCGATCTCTAAAGGGCTCAATTACAAGTTACCCAAATATCACGCGATAAACTCTGCCCCCAGCTGGTGGTCCAAGGTCACTAGCCATAATTCCGATTCAAGTATCGTCGTCCACCAGTCGTCCGTCCGTCGGGCATCAAGACGTTTCATTTAAACGACAATAATTGCGGTCGACGGTGTCACGTTTTACAAGCATCGACCACACAGTGGTCCCGGCTTCTTGTCCCTCAAACGACCAGTCACAACAATCCGGCGGGTGGTTGCTGACGGACGGACAGCTGTCTATTGAGAGAAGAACGCCGCCTTTCTGCGCGACGAGGGGCTCGTCTTTATAACGGCGAGATAGCGCGGGGCTATTCACGGAACGGTCTTCTCTATTCTGCTAAGGAAACGCAGTAGTCGCGGGAGACCGCGTGAAATAAAGGGAGGTAAAGGCTCTCGCTTCGAGGGGCGGAATTTTGACGAGAGCCCGGTAGGGGTGGGTCCCCAGAGGAACGGAGACCACCGCGAACCTGCTCCGCCCGAATTTTTTTCCGA